CTGACTCTAAGGTAGCATTTAGAAAATCCAGAGCAGATACATAGACTAGGTACGTGAATGGATTGGGTTGGTGACAAAAGGTAGGATAAGATGGAGAGTTCATGAATTAAGTGCGAAGATTTTTCTTGGCAACATTTATTTTATGCCAAATGAGGTTGAAACATTAATATTATGTTGAAACACTCTAACTCTCCAAAAAGGAAGTGTGCAAGAATTGCTACCTTACCCAGTCAGGCAGCATATAATTTCCACTCTCTTCATAACCAGTCAAGTAGAATACTTGATAGGAATGTAGGAAAACCTACCTTACTATTACAATTATTGCATCTATATTTGTATACAATGTCTAAAGGAAAATTTGTATACATTGTCTAAAGGAAAATATGACAACCTTTATTATATCTTGTGACTTTCATTATTAAATATGATGGGACAAAGAGATCTGGTTAACACATTCTTGACAATGGTTACAGAAAGCCAAAGAAACTTCTAATGTACATTGGTTCTCTCCTTTCTGAAATACCCTGCAGTCTGTGGATTTTTTTCATGAAAAGGTTTAGTCTAAAACTATTAGACCTTTACTGAAAATTAGATTTACCACAATCCAAAAGCTTTATTTAAAGTGCACTACCATATCAGTTACCATATACGTTTATTCATTTGATAAATGTTTGTGGAACACCTATTATGGGCTAGTAACTATTCTAGGCCCTGTAAGTCAGTAGTGAATGAAATAGTCAAGAATACCACCATATATTCAGGTTAAGGAAGAAAAACTGTAGGCAAATACATGTCTGGTGATAAATGCTATGAAGAAAAATAAAATGAAGTAAAAGAGATAGATTGAGATGAGAAATGGGGCCCAGCTCTTTCATATAGCATGATTAAGGAAACGCTTGCCTATAAGACACATTTGAGCAGAGACATTAAGGAAGTGAGGAAGCAAGTCATATAGATATTTGGAAGAAAAGCAATGCAACAGAAGGAACAGTAACTTAAAGGGCTCCTGTGGCAGGAGCAAGCCTGGTCTGTTCGAGGGATAGCAAGGAGGCAATTGTGGCTTGTGCAGAGGGAGTAAAGGGTAGAATGGCATGAGCTGAGATCAGGTGGTATGCAGGGACATGGCCAAGACTTTGATTTTACCCTAAGGGAAACAAGAAGCCATTAAAGGGTTTGAACAAGGGAGTGGTATGATCTGACTTGTGTTTTAAGAGTCATTCTGGCTTCTGCAAGTGTAACACTAGACTGTAGAGGGCAAAGATGGAAGCAGGAAAACCAGTTAAGAGGAACCTGTAACAATCTGCATAACAGATGATAGTGGCTTGAACCAGTGTAGTAATAGTAGTGGAAACATTAAAAAGTGGTCAGACTCTGGATACATTTTTAAGATCGATATATAGGATGTTAATTTTATGTAAGGATTGAAAGATAGGAATCAATTCAAGCTATTTGGCTTGAGCAACTGAAAGAATGGAGTTATCGTTAAATTACCATGGGGGAAGACTACTGCTGGAGAAGCAGATCTGGGGTTGGGATGTAGATGGAGACATTTTAAATTTGAGGTATATCAATTAGGGTTCCAAAGGGAAACAGATGGTACAGTCAAATTAGGTTAATTTGAGGAAAGGTATAATAATGGAACTATGTATAAATATGCAAAGACAGGAAAAGTGCAAGAGATAGTGCAATAGCCCCAGGCTGAAATATGTTGAACGTTTTACAACCCTAGGCCCGACAGGATGAGGAAACAGACTAGGGCCATGTGGTACTGTGTAAAGGGCTAAGGAAAGGGTTGAAGCCCTTATAAGGAATGCAGACAGTACTCAGCAATGCTGCTGGGACAGAATCAGGAATCAATACTCTAACCTCATCTCTTCCTACTTGTTCTCCTATTGGTGTTTCCCATTGTCTAAATCCAACAGGAAGTCAGAAAACAAATAAGCCCTTTAATGTAACCCAGAGTTCAGCCTTCCACTGCACAGAGCAAAGAGGGGTATAGACTATAGGCAAATGAAAGATATTCAATACATCGAGGAGAAGATATTGAGCTAGTTAATAGACATGTCTTTTCAGGAGAAAGATGACACACTCAATTTAGGAAGATTTTGTAGCCCAGTGCTCTGGGACTGGTTGCATTGATAGGTAACTTTGAGTAGAGGGAGAATGCAGAAATAGTGTCTCTATCAAATACTATCATTGACTCTATAATTACTGATGTTTCTTGCTATGTTAAGAGGTAAGCTATGGGATAATTGGCAGGTAGGCTACATCTCAACATCATCCAGCTGGACTAAAAATGTTTGTGTTCTGTTCAGGAAGCTTCTAATGATACCATCAAAGAAAAATATCTTATTTTGTAAGCCTTTGTGAAATTTTTTTTTTTAGTATACTGACACATTTACAAAATTTCTTTGCCAACAACAAATACAAACATTGATGCTCTATGGGTAGGTGGAATTCATTCAATGCTTTTGCAACACTTCTGGTTATGTTTCTTGGATTTAAAGGAGCGCCATCCAAAACCCTGACTCATTGCTTTTTGTTTTTAAATAAACTGCATTTTTAAAACAGTTTTAGATTAAAAAAAAAAATAAAGATTGGATAGAGAGTTCTCATAAACCCCGCACACAATTTCTTCTACTATTAACATCTCCCATTACTACGGTACATTTGTCACAATTAACAAGTGAATATTGATATGTTGTTATTAACTGAAGTCCTTGCTTTATTCAGATTTCCTTAGTTATTACCTGTTGTCTTTTTTCTGTTTTACTTTGCCATTCAGGACACCACATTATATTTAATCATCATGTCTCCTTAGGCTTCTATTGGCTACTATGTTTTTTTCAGACTTTCTGTGTTTTCGATACTCTTCACAGTTTAGCGGAGAATTGGTCAAATATTTTGTAGCGTGTATCTTAATTGGGATTTGTCTGATGATTTCATGATTAGACTGGGATTGTCAGATTTTGAGAAGAAGACCTCAACCATAAAGTGTCAATCTCATCATATCATACCAAGTATATATAATTTTATCAACATGATTTATCACTCTTGATATTGACCTGGATCACTTGGCTGAGGTATTGCTATATTTCTCCACTGTACATTTACTCTTTTATTTCCCTTTTTCCATACTGCAACTTTGGAAGGAAGTCAATCAATGTGCACAGCCCACACTGAAGAAGTGGGAAATTATAGCTCCATCTCCTTGAGGGCAGAACATCTACGTAATTTATTTGGAATTTTTCTGCACAGATTTGTCTGTTCTTCCACACTTATATATTTATTCAATGATTTGTTTATAACAGTATGGACTCACAGATATTGATCTTGTACTTTGGGTTATAATCCAATACTACTGTATTTCGTTGCTTGAATTGCTCCCATTGTGGCTATTGGGAGCTCTTTCAGTTGGCTCCTGTGTCCTATAACATATATGTGGTTTGATTTTGTTGTTGTTGTTGCTTAGCACTTCCTTGATTTCTGGCACTACACGATGCTTCAGGCTCATCTTGTAAATTTCTTGCCTCAGTCTTAGAATCTGGAATTTCCCCCAAGAAGCCCTGAGTCCTTTTATTGGAGAATAATATTAGAAAACGAGATCAGGGCACCAGGTGAGCTTGTTGCTACTGGGGTGTTGTTGCTCCTAGGTCCTCTCCGCTGATAGAGGGAGGAGAGATAAGTGTGTATACCCATACATATACACATATCTATGAATATTTCTATATGTAACCATACCATATGTATCTCTATACACCTAAATATGAGTTCATACTGTTGTCTCTGACTCTATTACCACATGAATCACTCTAGCCTTCACCTGATACTCATCTATAAACTCTCACTACAGCAGTGAGATACCTGGCTCCAATCATCTCTCATTCATTTACTTAATTGTTCAATTGCAGTATACAGATATAGCAGTACTGGAATTGTTAATTCACATTTACAATTTATCAACAAGAATACAGGTTTCATTGGCCTTTAGTTTTGTAGACTCCATTTATTTCCAAAGTTACTTTGGTCAACACCCTATTCCCTCACTGACTTCATTGATGTCATTTTTTAAAATATTTGTAATACATTTTTTTTTTTGAGACAGACTCTCGCTCTGTCACCAGGCTCCAGGCTGGAGTGCAGTGGCACGATCTCAGCTCACTGCAGCCTCTGCCTCCCAGGTTCAAGCAATTCTCCTGCCTCAGCCTCCTGAGTAGCTGGGACTACAGGCAGATGCCACCACACCAAGCTAATTTTTGTATTTTTAGTAGAAACGGGATTTCACCATGTTGGCCAGGATGGTCTTGATCTCTTGACCTCATGATCCCCCCACCTCAGTCTCCCAAAGTGCTGGGGTTACAGGCGTGAGCCACTGCACCCAGCCTTTGTAATACATTTTTTAAGAAAAAATGGTTGTTTCATTTGTACTTAAACCAGCCAAAGTAGTACTAATGTCGTTATGATGCAGCAAATACAAGACCTCTTTCTACAAATATTAGCACAACCAACAGAATAGGAGTTATAGTGAAACGGAGCCAAAAAGGGCTGAGGAAATAAATGAAGTATATTACAGCTTAACCCTTCACCTCAATAGAGTTTTTTTTTTTTTAATAAGGCCTCCCATCCCAAAAAATAGGAATATACCTTCATCACCCCAATTTGTACTTTTCTTTTTCTTGAGGTTAGATTCTAAACCCTAAAGATATTCAAACTAGTATTATATCTACTTATCTATATCCAGAGACAGCTTCTATCATGTTATACTTAGCAGCCAAGGTTATTAAAATGTCTTTACTCCAGGAAGATCTAATAGGAAAAAAGAAAAGAAACCTCTCTGATTAGGCTCCAACCATACCCCACCCTCCACCAAATTGACTGGATAGGCATAATGGAAACCAGAACACGTGGTTTCCAAACAAGAAAAATACTATAAGGGAGGGGAGAAGAATGATTCAGCTAGTGCCCAGACTGAAATTGAGTAATATCAATTTCACTCATCTTCACATAGCTTCAGGTTGCCTGTTTGTGGAGTAGTTTAGGAATGAATCCATAGTTTGTGGAGTACCGAAATACCTAGTGGTCTGCTGTATTACATTTTGGCTTTCCCCAGAAGTTTCCAAGGCAACCTCCAAGTCACTGGCAGGAGAATTTGGCTGGAACTGCATATAGGACTGCCAAGATTCCTCTCCATGGTTACAGAAGGAACTGTTCCAGGCCTGATTGTTCCAGGACTGGATGCACCAGGTCTCAGTGTTCCAGGCGTGGTTGCTCCAGGTTGAATTGCTCCAGGTCTGGTTGCTCCACATTGGAAGGTTCCCAGTCGTGTTCACCAGGCATCCCTGGTGGTAAGAAGGGTTAGAGGTTGTTGTAGGTAGGTAAGTGCTGAGGCTCAAGTCACACCACTGCTATTCTTTGGCCAGTTGTTTTTTTGCCACCTCTTAGATTTCATTCTCTGGTTCTGGAACCAGGTCTTAACCTGTTTGTAGCTAAGGTTCAGGATGTTGGAAAGTTCTTGCATCTGCTGGAGGCTGAGGTATTTCTGTCTCTGACATCCATCATTGAGTACACACAGCTGGGTGGAAGAGAACACAGTTCTGGTCTTCTGTTTCTTGACCGGGACCTTGTCTTCCTTTTTTGTGGTGTTCTTCTCTGCAGAAGTGTGTTGTTTGCCTTTGGGACTGGTAGAAGAATCATGGCTGTCCTGAATAAGCAGATCCATGGAGGAAGGAAGAGGAGAGACAGTCTCTGTGTGAGGCATCTCAGCAGAAGACATTTGCAAGGATGGATAGTTTTCTTCAAGCCCACAAGTCATAGGCACAGGTGAAGATTCTTTACAGTTGGATGCTCCATAGCAAGGCAGGCTTTGGGGACAAGCTGGATCCACACTCATGTTATTATTGGGGAAGAAGAGGAAAAAAATTAAGAGCTGGACTGTAAAAAAGGCTAAGGCGGCATTAAAACTTTTTCTGGAAGAACTTAGAGAAATATGACCTCCAGAAGTGAAAGTATCAAGAAGTTGGGATGAAGTGAGTCACCTCCACAATAATAGGAGGCAACCAGCTCAATCCAGCCTTTATTTGTAATGCATTTAGATGATTTTGTCACGTTCCTCATTCCATCCAGGGATGCTCCTACTTTCTAAACGATTGTTTAGTTTGTATACATTAAGTTCAGTGTGTTTAGACATACTGGACGGTGCCATGTTATTACAATACTGTAGAGAATATTTTCACCATCCTAAAGCACAAACACAAAAATCTTGTGTATTATCTTTTGAACCTTACATTTCTCCCCCACAAACCCTGGATACCACTGATGTTTTTATTCTCACTATGGATTTGTTCTTCCTAGGATGTCATATAATTAGAATACTACAGTAATTGGCCTTTTCATACTGGCTTGTTTCACCTAACAATATGTGTTTAAAATTCATCCGTGTCTTTTCATGGCTTCATAGCTCATTTCTTTCTTTAAAAAATTCTGTTTTGTTTTTTGAGATGGGGTCCCACTCTGTCACCCAGGCTATAGTACAGTAGCATTATCATAGCTCACTGCAGCTTCAAACTCCTGGTCTCAAGCAATTCTCTTGCCTTAGCCTCTCAAGTACTTTGGACTATAGCATGCACCACCATGCCCAGTTTGATTACTTTCTAGCCCTAAATAATATTCCATTGTATAGATGTCCCCTAGTTTGTTTATCCATTCTCCTATTGAAGAATTTCTTAGCTGACTTGAGTTTTTCATAATTATGAATAAAACTGACATAAACAATATTGTGCAAGTTTTTTGTTTTTGTTTTGTGACAGGGTCTAACTCTATTGCCCAGGCTGGAGTGCCATGGTGCAATCACAGCTCACCACTGCCTCAACCTCCTGGGGTCAGGTGATCCTCCTGCCTCAGCCTCCAAACTAGGTGAGACTACAGGCATGTGCCACCATGCCCAGCTAATTTTTTTGTACTTTTTGTAGAGATGGGATTTCACCATGTTGCCCATGCTGGTCTCTGGGTTCAAATGATCAGCCTGCCTTGGCCTTCCAAGTTGCTGGGATTACAGACATAAGCAACCGCACCTGGCCCATATAAGTTTTTGCATAGACACAGGTTTTCAAATTAGTTGGGGAAATTTCTAGGAGCATGATTGTTCCATAGTATGGTAAAATATGTTTAGCTTTGAAAGAAACTGCCAATCTACTTTCAAAGTGGCTGTACCATTTTACATTCCTGCCAGCAATGAATGAGAGTTCCTGTGTTCCACATCCTTGTCAGAATTGGAATTGTCATTTTTTTAGATTTTAGTGATTTCAATGTGTGTAATGATAGCTCACTGTTGTTTTTAATTTGTAATTTCCTGATGACAAATAATGTCGAACATCTTTTTGTATATTTATTAGCCATTTGCATGTCTTCTTTGATGAGATGTCTGTTCAGATCAATTTTTTTTTAAATTAGGTGGATGTTGTAAGAGTTACTTTTAAATTTTGGATACAAGTCATTTATCTGAAATTTTTTTGAAAATATTGTCTGCTAGACTATGGCTTGCCTTTTCATTCTCTAACAGTCTTTCACAGAACAAAACTTTTTCATTTTAACAAAATCCAACACCATTTTTTTTTCTTTCATGGATTAGGCTTTTGGTATTTTATCTAAAAATTCATCATCAAACTCAAGGTCACTTACATTTCTTCCTATGTGTTCTTCTAGGAGTTTTATAGTTTTGTCACTTTCATTTAGGTATATAATCCATACTGAGTTAATCTTTTTGAAAGGTATAAGGTCTGTGAGTAGGTCTGTCTCTCCCCCACCCCTGCACCTTGGGGACATCCAATTGTTCTGGCACCATTTATTGAAACAATATTCTTTCATCATTAAATTGCCTTTGCATCTTTGTCAAAACTCAACTATGTTAATATTGGTCTGTATATGAGCTATCTATTCTGTTCCATTGATCAATGTGTCTATTCTTTCACTTATACCATGCCTTCTTGATTATTATAGTTTTAATATCAAGACTTGAAATCAGGTAGTGAGTGTTACAACTTGTTCTTTTTCTTCATTATTGTGTTCGATATTCTAGGTCTTTTGCTTTTCATATAAACTTTACAATCAGTTTGTAGATATTTCAAAATAATTTGGTAGGCCTTTCATTGAGATTGCATTGCATCTGTGGATCAAATTGGGAAGAATTTATATCTTAATAATACTGAGTCTTCCAATCCAAAAAAATTAAAATATATTTCCATTTATTTAGATCTTTTATTTATCAGAGTTTTATAGTTTTCTACATATAGATCCTGTATCTATTATGTTAAATTTATACCTATTTCAATTTTTGGTTCTATTTTAATTGTTATCTTAATTTTAAATTCCAGTTGTTCTTTGCTGATATATAGGAAAGTAACTGACTTTTGGATATTAAGCTTGTATGTCAGGACCATGCTACACCCTCTTATTAGTTCCAGAATGTTAATTCTTTGGAATATTCTGCAAAATCCAGTCATCTGTGAACAAAGGCAGTTTTATTTCTTCCTTCTAAATCTACATTTTTTTCTGTCTCCCTTCCTTCCCTCTCCCCCTCCTCCTCCTCCTCTTATTCTCTCTTACATTTTGTCATACCACACAAGTCAGGATTTCCAGTGTGATGTAAAATAGGAGTGGCGAAAGATCACATTCCTACTTTGTTCTCAATCTTGCATGAAAAGTGTCCATCTTATTATTACATTTGATGTTAGCTGTAGGCTTTTATAGGTATTCTTTTAACCAAGTTGAAAAAAATCGCCTCTATTTCTAGTTTGCTGAGTGATATTTTTATGAATGGGCATTGGATTTTGTAAAATAATTTATCTGCATCAATTGATAGACTCATGTGAATTTTCTTCTTTAGCTCATTGATATGGTAAAATGCAGTCACTGAATATCAATGTCGAACGAGTCTTCCATATGTGGAGTAAATCCTACTTGGTCATGGTGTATAATTTTTTAAATACATTTTTGGGTTTTATTTGCTAACATTTTACTGATAATGTTTAATCTATATTCATAGGGGATATTGGTCTTTAGTTTTTTTTTTTCCATGATGTCCTTTGGAATTAGGTTTTGTTATTAGGGTAATATTGGTTTATGGAATGATTTTGGAAGTGTAACCTTTGTTTTTCTTTTCTGGAGGACATTATGGAGAATTGGTATCATTTCTTCTTAAACGTTAGAGGGATTTACCAGTGAAACTATCTGGGCCTGGCTTTTTCTTTTGGATGGAAGTTATTCATTATTGATTCAATTTCTTCAGTAGGGCTCAAGCTATTTGCTTCTTCTTGTGTGAGTATTAGTAGTTTTTGTTTTTCTAGGAATTGGTTCATTTCATGTGAATTATCAAGCTTGTGGGTGCAGAGTTGTTCAAAGTATTCATTTTATTATCCTTTTAATATCTACAGGCTCAGTAGTGATGACCTAAATGTATTCTTGATATTAGTAATTACTGTTTTTTCACTTATTGCTTAGCCTGTCTAGAGGTTTATCAGTTTTATTTATTTTTCTAAGAAACATCTTTTGAGCTTGATTTTCTGTATTGTTTTCTTTTTAGTTTCATTGGTTTCTGCTCTAATTTTTGCTATTTTTCTTCTGCAAGATTGCTCAAGGCATACATTTCTATCTCTAATTTTGTAGTATGAAATGTTGTGTTGCTGAGTTTACAGCATCTTTCTAATATATGCATTTAATGGCATATATGTCCCACTAAGTATTATCTTCACTACATTTCATATATTTTGATAAGTATTTTTAAATTTTCATTTAATTATTTTTAATTTCTCATAAGACTTCTTTGATTCATGTGTTTAGATGTGTGTGGTTTTATTTCCAAATATTTTGAGGTTAGTGGATATCCTGTTACTAATTTTTAGTTTAATTCCATTGTACTTGGAGATATACATTGTATTATACCATTTTAAATTTGATAAAGTATGTTATGTGGTCTAGAATATGCTTTATCTAGGCAAGTATTCCATGCGAGCTTGAGAATGAATGTTCACTTCAATCACTGCACTTGGATTGAATGTTCTATAATAGCCAAATCGATCAAATTGATTGAGAGTGCTATTCAGCACTATCCTTATTGATTTATCATTGCTGATTTTTTTACTTTCTTAATGTATCAATTACTGAAATTGAAGTGTTGAAATTTCCAACTAGGATAGTAAACTTTTTCATTTTTCTTTTTAGTTCTGTCAGTTTTTGCCTCACCTGTTTTGGCACTCAGTTGTTAGGTGCATACACATTAATTATTGTTATGTCTTATTGGAAATTTGCCCCTTTATCATGAAATAATGCCTCTCTTGATCCATGATAATTTTCCTTGTTCTGAAACTGCTTTGTCTGAGATTAATATAACTACTCCCGCTTTCATTTGATTAATGTTAATATAACATATATTTTTTCATCCCTTTACTTGTAACCTGCTTTATTCATTATGTTATAGCAGAGTTTTTGGAAACAATAAACAGTTGGGTCTTTTGCATCCCAACCCCTTTCTTTTAATTGATATATTTAGACCATTCATATTTTAAATGATTATTGATATAGTTGATGCAATATGCTAAATATCTGTGTTCCTTCCAAATCTATATGTTAAAATCATAATCCACAATGTGATAGCATTAGGAGGTGGGGTGTTTGTGAGGTGATTGGATCATGAGAGTGAAGCCCTTATGAATGGAATTAGTGTCCTTATGAAAGAGGTCACCCTCTTTCTAGTATGTGGGGGTACAGGAAGACAACAATATGCAACCCAGAAGAGGGCTCTCACCAGAACCTGATCATGCTAGCACCCTGATCTCAGACTTCCAGTCTTCCTGGAATAAGTATATATACATATGTATCCCTTATAAGAGAACCTTGAGAAACAATTTCTGTTGTTTATAGGCCACCCAATCTATGGTACTTTGCTATAGCAGTCTGAACTGACTGACACAGTGGTATTGGCAGTGACTTTCTGGGTTCACTTGTCTCTCTGTGTGGCAGGTGGGCTTGCAACCTTAATTCTCTGATTGGTTCAAGACAATTCATTAATTTTCAGT